GGAGGAGGGAGAAAAAAATTTAAAACTCAAAAGCTTATGGAAGTGAATTTTAAAAACTAAAAATAAATTAATAAACAATTAAAGAAAAAATAATCTGGATGTTATACCACTTGGTGCATATATGTTTGGTATTGATATTACTTCATTGTCTATGGTACCTTTTAGCAAGATGTAATTTTCTTCCTTGTCTCTTTTAATTAGATCTATTTTTGCTTTTGTTTCATCTGAGATCAGGATTGCTACCCCTGCTTTCTTTCACTTCAGCTGAAGCATAATATATTTTGCTCCAGCCTTTTACCTTTACTCTGCATGTGTCTCTCTTATTTAAATGTGTTTCTTGTAAACAATATATCATAGGATTCTGGTTTTTAATCTACTCTGCAATTTGCTTTCATTATATGGGATAGTTATGATGACTGTGTATTTCCCTCCATTCTATTTTCCCCCTTTTTATACTTTTCTCTCTCCTTTCACCCTGTTTCTCAACAGTGTTTTACTTCTGACCACAGCCATCCCCAATCTGCCCTCCCTTTCATCAGCCCCTCCTCTTTTCTTTCCCCTATTTCTGCCTTATCTTCTGTCACTCCCCGTTTTCTTTCCCCTTTCCTCTCCTACTTCCTTATAGGTTAAGACAGATTTCTCTACCCAACTGAGTGTGTATATTATTCCCTCTTTGAGTCAAATTTGATGAGAGTAAAGTTCAAACAATGCTCACCCCTTCCCTTCTTTCCCTCTACTATAATAGGTCTTTCTTGCCTCTTCATGTGGCATAATTTACCCCATTCAGCCTCCCGCTTTCCTCTTCTCTCAATATAATCATTTCTTTTTTTATCCACTAATTAATTTTTGTAATCATCACATCAAAGTCAACTTATACCCACACCCTCTATCTAAATATACTCCTTCTAACTGCCCTAATAGAGCTACATTTCTTAAGATTTACAAGCATCATCTTCCCATGTAGGGATGTAAACAGTTTAACCTTACTGAATATCATTTTTTTTCCTTTCCTGTTTACCTTTTTATGCTTCCCTTGAGTCTTGTATTTGAAGATCAAATTTTCTATTTAGCTCTGGTCTTTTCATCAGGAAAGTTTGAAAGTCCCCAATTTCATTGAATTTCCATCTTTTCCCTTGAAAGATTATGCTCAATTTTGCTGGGTAGTTGATTCTTGGTTGTAATCCAAGCTCTTTTGCCTTCCAGAATGTCATATTCCTATCCCCCGATCCGTTAATGTAGAAGCTGCTATGTCCTGTGTAATCCTGACTATGGCTCCTTGATATTTGAATTGTTTCTTTCTGGCAGCTTGTAGTATTTTCCCCTTGACCTGAAAGTTCTAGAACTTGGTTATAATAATTCTCAGAGTTTTCATTTTGGAATCTCTTTCAGGAGGTGATCAGTGGATTCCTTCAATGACTATTTTACCCTCTAGTCCTAGGATATGAGAGTAGTTTTCCTTGATAATTTTTGAAAGTTGCTGTCCAGGCCTTTTTTTTTAATCAAGGTTTTCAAGTGGTCCAATAATTCTTAAATTATCTCCCCTGAATCTATTTTCCAGGTCAGTTGTTTTTCCAGTTAGGTGTTTTACATTTTTTTTCTATTTTTTTCATTCTTTTGATTTTGAATGATTCTTGATGTCTCATAGAGTCATTAGCTTCCACTTGCCCAATTCTAATTTTTAAGAAATTATTTTCTTCAGTTAGCTTTCGTACTTCCTTTTCCATTTGGCCAACTCGATTTTTTAAGGAGTTGTTTTCTTCAGTCAATTTTTGTGCTTCCTTTTCTAAGCTGTTGACTCTTTTTTTCATAATTCTCTTGCATAACTCCTATTTCTTTTCCTAATTTTTCTTCTACCTTTCTTATTTGATTCTTAAAATCCTTTTTGAACTCTTCCAAAAGGACTTTTTGGGCCTGAGACCAATTCCTATTACCCTTTGAGGCTTCACATATAGGCATTTTGACATTGCTATCCTCTTCTGAGTTTGTGTTTTGATTTTTCCTGTTGCCATAGTAGCTTTCTATGGTGAGGGCTCTTTTTTGTTTCTTTGTTTTTTATCATTTTTAAAAGTTGAGCTTTGCTCCTGGGGTGCAGGGGGTACTGTCCCAAGTTTCTTGCACAGGGGGCCAGGGGCTGGTCACTGATTTTCTCTGCTGGGGCCTCTGGTGCTGATGGTTTACCCACTGCACTAGGGTGGTCTGACCTAGTTGTGCCTATTGTGCCCTGGGGTTCAGGGCTGGCAATTTGCTTGTTGCTCTAGGGCTCCAGGCCTAACACCTGGCTAGAATCACGGGGCCTCCATTACTAATCTGTGTTGTGGTTAAGAGCCTCCTGCTGGCTTACCCATATACCACTTGCACTGGGCTACATTCCCCTTTTACCCAAGTGAGAAAAACCTTTCCTAAAGTCCTTCTAAGTTATCTTGGGCTGGAAACTGTTTCACTCTGTCTTTTTGTGGATTTTTCATTCCAGAATTTTTTTCGAGGCTTGTTTTAACGTTGCTTCTAAGTGGAAACTTCCTGGCTTCTCTCCACTATCTTGGCTCTGCCCCTCAGCCCCAGTTTCTTGATCTGCAAAATTAGGGTACTATAGCCTCAAATTCAGGGGGTTATTGTAAAGATCAAGTAAGATAATGTATGCAGAGTACTTTTAAACCTTGAGGCACTATACAAATGTTAGATGCTATTACTATTGTTGCTGATAAATACTTGTTGATAGCTTGAAGTAGGTTAAAAGCATTAAGTAGACTAAACCAGCAGTGGTTGGGTAAAATAACGTGAGATCAGAAAAGAAAGCGGGCTATACTTGTATCAATTTTTTTCACCAAGAGGAATGAAGATGATATATTTGCTTTATTTACTTTACAGAGTTATTGTTAGGAAAAACACTTTGCAAAATGTTATGGGTGAGGTCTTTTGATTTGTCTGTAAATTGTATTTAAGTGAGGCAGAGTTAAACAAAGTCATAGGCCTCACTCTCTCCTCCAGAGTCATCATAGTACAGTGGTAGGACAGAGTCAAGATGATTGGTGGTGACTCAGGATGCAGTGGATGACCTTAGCTGCTTCAAAGTCTAGCCAGTCTCTGAGCACTCCACAGCACCTGCTTCAGCTGCCTTCATGACCGTTAGAAGAAATTGTTCTCATCCTCCCATTCCAGAGGAATTCTTCACGTTTGGGATGGACACCCCCTCAACTCTCTGATAGGTTTGAGACCACCTCCGTTACCCTCAACCTGGTTTAGACCATCTGCTAAAACAGTTTACCAGGTTGTGGCTGATGTGCATGCTATAGCTTTTCGGAGTCACAGTGGTAGTTAGATGGATCATGTGGACACCAAAGTTGGAAAGCAGCCCTGAAAAGGGCTTGGCAGCCCTCACAACAGAGGTACTAGTCTTCTCTGAATATACCCTACACTAACACTTTGTAAACATTATGGTACAAGACAAGATCTAACAGATAGCTCAAATAGTTCACTGAAACTCAGAAGATATTAAAACAGGAGTCTTTAACCTGGGGTCTGTGAAATTTTTAAAAATATATATTTTGATAATTATATTTCAACATAATTGGTTTCTTTTACAATCCTGTATATTTTACTTTATGCATTTAAAAACATTATTCCTTAGGTTTCTTTGTTGTTGTTGTTCAGTCATTTTCAGTCATGTACTACTCCTCATTATCCCTTGTGGAGGTTTTCTTGGCAAAGATACTGGAGTGATTTGCCATTTCCTTCACCAGTTCATTTTACAGAGGAGGAAAATGAGGCAAAGAGAGTTAAGTGCCTTGTCCAGGGTCCCACAGCTAGTAAGAATCTGAGGCCAGATTTGAACCCAGGAAGATGAGTTTTCCTGACTCTAGGCCTGGTATTCCATTCACTATGCCACCTAGCTGCTAGTTTGGTTTCACCAGAGTGCCAAAGGACTTTGTGACCTGCCCTCTACTCCAAAAAAAAAAAAAAGGCTAAGGAGACACTACATTAAAAGAAATAGAGGAAGGCCTTCAATGCTTTATATGTATCCTTTGTGAAGGATTTACAGAAAAGCATCAGTAAGGATGAGAAAGCATAGGAGGTTGTAATCAACACAGCATGATGAGAACACAGATCTATCTAAGCATTCCCAGGTTTTCCCCTATATTCTCATATGTGAATTCCCATCCCCAGCCCAGGGTAACTTTTTTTTTTTATCTCTCGGGTGGTTAATTTTATTGGTGAAAACTTTCTTCTGAATTTCTTTTCATTTGATGTTTCAGCAAAACACACCAAGGCTCCTGAGTATGCCCTCCCAGGACACAACCATAGCTAATAGTATGCTACTTCTAGGCTTCATAAAGCTCAGCTAGGACAGCCCCCTTCAATCCCCTCAGTACTCAAATTAAAACATTTTAAGAAAATTATCTGGGTACTGACACACAGGAGCTATTTAACTAATCTCAAAATCCCAATCCAGTGACCTGATAAGACTGTCCAAAGTATGCCAAATCTGAATCAAACAAACATAGTAAAACATTCATATTTGCATACTTGCAGTTTAGCAAAAGTCACAAGTCCAATTAAAACCACTGAAGCCTCATGCAAATAAAAATAGTATTTGAGGAGAAATTTTGGCTATTTAATGCCAACCTGAGACCTGTTATTATTTTTCTTTTCTCATTAATTACTCCACAATAACTCTTCAACAGCATGATTTATGGAAGCCACTGTAAAGTAGATGTCCTTTAACAAGAGCAAGAGAAATGGTGGTTCTATTTGAATCATGGGGAGACTTACTACTGCTTCCCCCTAACTCCATAAGTTCATTGTGAGTATTGCCCAAGATAAGTTGAGAGACAAGACGATAAACTGTAAATGCAGACAATCTCTTCCCTCTGTCCATAATCAAAGAAATTAATTGATAATAACTAACAGTACCGGCCCTTCATCCCAGCTCAGTCAAATCCAGTGATTCAGGATATTTGGCAAATCAAGTTACCACAGATGCCACACTATGGCTGTTAACTTACAACATTCACTATGTTCTTTTGCAGGTTGTCCTGGCTTATTTTTCACCACGGAGATTTTTCAGAAATTGCTGGATTGCTCATAGGCTCAGGTTCCTTTTCTCTTTCATAAGAAAGTGAGAAAACCCTAAGTTGAAATGAACAGAAAGAAAAAAAAATATCAGAAAGAGGAGTACACATTAAATTACTTATTATCTGAGCAGATACATATTCTTCCCTATTTTATCTGGGCTAAATAACATTTCACTGGAGTCCAATTTTATTGATTTTTTTTAAAGGTAAGATTCTAAGATTTGAACAAAAATTCAATATGCTGTAAGGCCCAGTGGACTGAGGATTCTGGTAGACCTCTGTTGAACAGAACTTATCTGTTGAAGATAAGACCTCTTATCACTTAGAGATAAGTTTGCAGTATTGTCTTATAACCCGCCACCTGACCACTTAGCTTTACTGTCTGAAGCTGAGTGAACAGGGCAATTATCTTTTGTACCTTCCAAACTTCTCTAGGTCATTGGGAGTATTAAGAAGATCATGTCTGCAAAATATTCTCATTTCCTGAGAAAAAAAGTCCCTATATAAATACAAAGTATTATTAGTGGTCATGAGCTTGTTACTGAACTCTAAGCCAGAATATAAAAAGCAAGGATGGCTCAGCACCAACTATCATTATCTCTCCAGCACCCAAACATCTTCCCATCAGCGATGCTGCAGCTTTTTCTTCTAGAGAAGGGGGTGGGTGGGGAGTGGAGGAGACATTGAGGAATTCTGAGTCTGAGAGGAAAAGACAAAGAAAAAAAGAAAGGGTAGAGCCGGTGGGGGGGGGATGGCAAGGGAGGAGGGAATGGATGTGTAGAGGGAGGGGTGAGGCAAATAAAGTGCTTGGTGGTGCCTCATCACTTGGAATACACTCTGTGAGTGGCTGATATCGTCAGTCTGCTGTGTTGTGTGCATGGTATGTGTCTATAGTGCTGTGAAATTTTCCACTTGGCTGTCCTCCATATCCACCCACTGAGAATAATGCTTACACGTACTGAAAAGTGCCACAGCAAGGCCATTTCTCAAGGAAGCTTGGACTTTATTTTTTTTTTAAGAAAAGATCTACTCATGTCCTAATCATAAGCATTTTGCACGCCTGAATTTCTGATATTTCTCTTTTCTTTTAAAGTGTAGCCAGGAATAGCTCTTTCTGGGCCAATACTATCAAGTTATTTTGACTTGTGTGCCCTTGAGAGGCATACTTGAGGTGAAGGAACTCACATTAGTGGTTTCGGGGTTTAGGGACTAAGAAAAACGTGGCATTTTAAGTGCTAAGCTAGGGTCCTTTCCTTTATGACCCCCATGCAATCACCCCAATCACCCACAGTTGACATTCATTATTTCTTTTCCAGGATAACAAGCAGGCAGAGGACACAGGTGGGAGCTGCAGTGTCATTATCAGGGGCTTGCTAATATTTGCTACGGAGACAAGTTGCCACTTAGCTCATCAAAAACAAGAATGAATTACACTCAAACCTTACGCCTGAAATTGACACATCAAAACCAAGAATGAATTATACTCCAACTTTAGACCTGACAAAAAGCATTGACAAATGTAATTACAAATAAAGAATTAAAAAATACAGCCGAGATGAAGGTTGATAGCTAGGGGTATAACCTAGTTTTTTCTCTCCCCTCCCCCACCTCACTTAATAGTATTTTATTTTTCCTAATTATATGTAAAGATAGTTTTCAACATTCATTTTTAAGAAGATTGAGCTCCAAATTTTTCTCCCTCTCCTCTCCCTCCCTTTCTCCCTTCTCTCCTCTCCGAGACAGCAAGCAATCTGATATAGGTTATACATGTGCAATCATGTTAAATATATTTCCATATTAGTCATGTTGTGAAAGAAGAATCAGAACAAAAGGGAAAAACCACGAGAAAGAAAAAATAAAAAGTGAAAATAGTATGCTTCAATCTGCATTCAGACTCCGTAGTTCTTTCTTTGGATGTGGATAGCATTTTCCATCACGAGTCTTTTGGAATTGTCTTGAATTATTGTATTGCTGAGAAGAGCTAGGTCAATCATAGCTGATCATCACACAATGTTGTTGTTACTGTGTACAATGCTCTCCTCGTTCTGCTCACTTCATTCAGCATCAGTTCATATAAGTATTTCCAGATAACCTAGTTCTTTCATTCACTTCTTTTCTACTTATGCTTGTTATGGTCAGGGACTATCTTCTTATTTGCATCCCCAGGGATGCTAATGTACCAATAGGTGGAGTTGTGAACTGATCCAACCATTCTGAAGAGTAATTTGGAACTATGCCCAAAGTGCAATCAACCTTCGCATACTCTTTGATCCAAGTATCCCAAAGAGATTAAAAAGAAAAAAAAACCTATTTGTACAAAAATAGAGCAGCTCTTTTGTGGTGGCTAAGAATAGGACATTTAGGGGATGCCCATCAATTAGAGAATGTCTGAACAAGTTGTGATATGATTGTAATGGAATATTATTGTGCTATAAGAAATAATGAACAGGATGATTTCAGAAAAACCTGGAAAGACTTACATGAATTGAAACAAAGTGAAGAGAGCAGAACCAGGAGAACATTGTACATAGTAACAGCAATATTGTAAGATGAAGAACTGTGAATGACTTAGCTATTCTCAGCAATACAATGATCCAAGACAATCTCAAAGGACTCATGATGAAAAATGCTATCCAGTTCCAGAGAAGGAACTGATTTGTCTGAATAAAGACTGAAGCGTACTATTTTTCTTTCATCTGCCTTTCCTTCTTTCTTTCTTTCTTTCTTTTTCTTCTAGTGTTCTTGCACAAAATGACTAATATGGAAATATTTTCCAGGATTGCACATGTATAATCTATATCAAATTGCTTATCATCTCAAGGAGGGAAGATGGGAAGGAAGGAGGGGCAGAATTTGGAACTCGAAACTTTTAAAAATTGCTTAAATTGTTTTTACATGTAATTGGAAAAAATAAAATACTATTAAAAATAAAATATGTGTATCCCCAGTGCTTAGCACATTGTCTGGCACATAGTAGGTGCTTACTGAATTTAATTATATTTGTATCATATGGTACCTACTAAACTACAAGCTACATGAGGGCAGGGTCTGGTCTGTATCTTATCTGAACTTTACACCTCATCCAGCATCACACTTTGTAAAGAAAAAGTCATTTAATAAATGTTTAATTATTGAATAACTGAAAGTTAGAATCAAGAAGAATATCATTAAAATGGAAGACTTAAATGTGAGCCCAGTTACATGTAAGCCTCTGAAAAATCAACTTGGCAATTCAAGGTTAGGTGCCTTCCCTTAGTTGACTCCTGTTTGTTCACCTTCCAATAAGAGAAACCTTTCAAAATTTCTCTTGTGAACCTAGGATTCGGCTCATTTCAACAACTATTTGTAAGAATAACTTCAATTTACATGGTGCGTTGAGATTTGTAAAGTACGTTCCTCAGTGGAAAAAAAAATTGATCGAGTAGTTTAATTAATATCCCTGCTTTTACAGGTGAAAGAACTTGTTCAGAATGGCTAAAATGACTTGCCATAGGCACACAGATAGAAAATTTCAGATCCTTAGAGTCTAGGTTTTTTGGTGCTACACTGACAGTTTTCTTTCCTGGTTCTGTTTTCTTAACAAAATGAACATCCTGACCCAGCAACATAAAAGGCACTGGGAATGTTGTGTTCATCTGGACTTTCTCCACTGCTCACTCTATTCCAGGAGTTGGCCTGACATAATACTTCAGCCAAGGTAAATCAGTAATCCTGTCCCTCACCTACTTTCCCTTCAGGTTCCATAGAGCAGCATGGGACAGGTTCATTCATCTTTTCCTATGAATGAAGAGATCAACTTGTACCATTCTTACAGCTCATGCTGGCTTCATTGATTTCCTAATGAATATATCATTCATCATACCTTTAAACTAATTGTCATTTCAAGGGAAGTAATTATCAAAGAGATATTGGATTTAAACTTTATTTGAAATAAACCAATTCACTAAAAGGGAAATAAGATGGTGTGAGTCTTTATTTAAGATGACAGGAGGGAAAAAAATTCCTGGCACTCCATACTTCTAAATGTTGCATGGTCCAAGATACAGACTGAGTTTACAACCATTCACTAAGATAATGCTCTCTGCTGACCTCCCTGGTATGAAAAGCTGGACAGACAAACAAACAGAGAATGACAGAAACAACTCTTGGAAGTAATTTGGTCCAATATCCTGCCCAAAGGCAAGCATCTTCTCCACATTAAGAGCTACCTCCTCTCTCCAGAGAAGGAAATTACGCATCCCACATTCCTCCCCAGTCTGAGTAGCACTTTCAGTCTGTAACAGAGACTTCAAGTGCTGATTATATTAAATTTACTACTTTATTGTGTGTGTGTGTGTGTGTATACACATGTGTGTATGTGTGTATGAACTCCCTTTGACTGATAACTCTTCAGCAACTCTTCTATAATTTATAGTCTATAGAGCTGCCCGAGGCACTTAAAGACTTTGTGGTCACGTTATTAGTGTGTGTCACAGATGGAACTTGAATTCAGGTCTTACTGATTGTATGATTGTATATCTACTATGTTAGAAGTCCTCTTGGTGTACACTCATGTAAACACACACATATATCCACACTGTACTATAGTGTTCTTGTTTTTAGGCAAGTAAACCAAATTCTAGGATAAGGAGATACAAGTACTTTGGTGGCAAGGTCTTGGGCATGGGTCTAAGCACACAGTGGGTGATTAAAAAATATTTGTTGAACTGAAATTACCCAAACTCCTTGAGAAACATGTTACAGGAATCTCTACTGCTATAATTTATGCCCATTTTTATCCCCCAAGATGACAACAAATCAGAGGACATCAAGTTACCATTCTCTGAATAACAGTCCATCACATAATTGGAGTCATGTTATTTCTTAGGCTGGCCTTCTTTAGACTAAGCAATCTAAATTACTTTAAACTTTTATTTGGAAGTCTGTTTTGCAATTTTATACATATTTTAAATGTTCCCAGAGTGTGACTTCTCTGAGAAACCAAGATCTTTATTTGCTAGAAAAGTCAATTACAGAGCAGTCAATAAGAATTTATTAAGTGCTTACTATATGCTA